TCAGAGACAAGGACATCAGGACACCCATGCGTCGCAAAGAGGCCTCGCAGCACCCAGATGAAGGCCTCAGTAGTGGTGGAGGGCATCAGGGCCACCTCCAGCCATTTGGAATAGGCGTCCACCACTACCATAAAGGTCCGGCCGTGAAAGGGGCCGGCCAGATCGATGTGCACCCTTGACCAGGGTGTCTTGGGCGTCTCCCAGGTGTGTCCCTTAGCTGCCGGTGGTGCAGGCCTCGATTCTTGGCACGCTTGACAGGTGGAAACCCAGGCAGTGATGGCATCGTCCATGTTAGGCCACCAGACGTAACACTGAGCCACACCTTCATTTTGACGATTCCCGGGTGGCCAACGTGCAGAGCCTCCAGGACACGTTGACGGAGTCTTTGGGGAATCACGACGCGGTCTCCCCACAGCAGACAGCTGCGATGAGCCGAGAGTTCGTGTTGTCTGGTTGCGAAGGGCTGGAACTCCGATGCAAAAGGCCCTTGTGGCCACCCCCTCCACACCCAGTTGAGCACACGGCTGATGGTGCAATCCTGGGCAGAAGCGGAGGCCACAGTGGCAGCCAATACAGACACTGCCGGAAGATCCTCAATCAGGAGGAACGATGAAGCAGGAGCCGGGTCTTCCACAAACGCTGGAAGAGGGCAACGGCTGAGGGCGTCGGCATGGCCCATCGATTTCCCCGGGCGATGGACGAGCTGGTAGTGGTAGGCTGCCAGGAAAACAGTCCATCGCAGCGTGCGCAGCTACAGGACCAGTGGAGTTGGATGATCACCGGCATGGAGGCCCAGGAGTGGCTTGTGGTCAGTGATGAGGTCAAAAGTCCTGCCGTAGAGGTATTCATGGAACCTCTTCACTCCAGCCACAAGTGCCAGTGCCTCCTTGTCGAGCTGCCTGTAATTCCGTTCAGTCAGAGATAGCGTCCTGGAAAAGTAGGGGAGCGGTGCTTCTCTTCCATCTGGAAAACGGTGACTAAGGACAGCGCCGATGCCAAAAGGTGAGGCGTCGCAGGCAAGGACCAGCGGCCTGGCTTCACTGTACTGTACGAGCACACTGTCCGATGAAAGGAGAGCCTTGACCGCGTTGAAGGCCGCCGTCTCCCAATGACCCCAGGACCAAGGTGTCTTTGTGCTGAGGAGTCGGTGAAGAGGCTCAGCCACCGTGGCTTTGTGGGGCAGGAACATGTTATAAAAGTTCAGCAGTCCCAGGAATGCCTGCAACTCCGTCTTGTTCTTTGGGATGGGGGCCTGCTGGATACCGCGGATCTTGGATGTGGTCGGGTGAAGGCCGGAGGCGTCGATAAGGTAACCCAGGAACTCCACCTGTGGAACGGCGATCTGGCCCTTCTCCCTCTTTACCTTGAGCCCGGCCTCCTGGAACCTGGTCAGCACGGCGCAGAGGCGCTTGAACAGCTGCTGGTGTGAGTCTGCGGACACCAAGACATCATCAAAATATGGTACCACGCCCGGAAGCCCTTGCAGGAGACGCTCCATAAGGCTTTGGAAGATGCCAGGAGCCACACTCACCCCAAACTGCAAACGGCTGCAACGGAATGCCCCTCGGTGGGTGACGATCGTCTGGGCTTCAGCAGTGGCATCATCGACAGGCAGTTGTTGATAGGCTTGGGCAAGGTCCAGCTTAGCAAAGACCTTACCCTCACCCAGGGAATGCAGCAGGTGTTGGACAACAGGAACCAGATAAGCGTGCTGCTGAAGTGCCTTGTTGATGGTGCACTTGTAGTCAGCGCAGATTCTCACCGACCCGTCTGGCTTGACAGGCGTGACAATGGGGGTTTCCCACTTGGCGTGGTCAACCGGCACCAAAACTCCTTGGGCGATCAGCTTGTCCAGTTGTTCGTCCACCTTAGCCTTGAGAGCAAAGGGAACCCGGTGTGGCTTTAGCTTGATGGGGGCGACTTGTGGATCAAGGCTAAAGGAGACGGGCGTACCTGTATATTGCCCCAAAGTGCCGTCAAAAACCCTCGGCAAAGTCTTTGACCAGACCCTCAGTCTCTGCGTTAGAGATGCAGTTGATGCCGGTGACTTCCAGGCCGAGGGCATCAAACCAGTCTAGCCCTAGGAGGCTTGGCCGCTGACCTTGACCACCACCAGTCGGAGCAGACCCGAAAAATCCTTGAAGGCGATCCGGAACCGGCCAATGCCTACCATGGGAATGCCGTTTCCCTGGTAGTCTCTCAGGTTATACGGTGAGAGTCGAGTTGCCTTTTGGACACTCTGGGTACCAGTCTTTTGATGGTGCTCCAAGACACAATGGACAGGGCAGACCCGGTGTTGATCTCCATGTCACATGGAGCTCCTTCAATGAGCACCGTGACGTTCAGCTTGCGTCGCGTAGGCGAATCGGTTTGGCCAATCGTGGTTCCAGACGGGCAGCGGCAGTTGGTGAGAGCGAAACAGCTTTCCTTGGCGGACTGGAGTGAAGGCTTGGACTTGCGAGTCGGTGAAGGGGGGGTGTCAGCCAGAGCCGATCGGCAGACCTTAGCGATGTGGCCCCTTCTGGAACACTTCCGACAGATGGCATCTCTGAATCAACACTTGGCACGGGAATGGTTGCCTCCGCAGCCGGCACATTCCGATTGGCCCTTGGACTTCTTTTGGAACTTCCTGCACTCCCGCTTTGTCTGGTGCACGTCATCGTCTTCACTGGAGGATGCCTCATCACTGCTGGCCTCTTCATGATGCACTGGAACTGGCTTTCTAGCAAGACACGGGCTGCTGGCCTTGCGGATCTCCTGGGCAGAGCGTTCGGCAGCTTCCGAGGCCACGGCCTCCTCAATGGCTTTCTGCAGCATGAGGTCTGGCGTAGCGAGGAGACGCCATTGCAGACGGATGTCCCGGACCCCACAGACAATTCAATCCATCAGGGCATCGTCTAAGTCTCGGAACTCACAGTGCATTGCAGCCTGTTGGAGGGCGGTGGTGTAGTTGTTGATTGACTCCCCCTCTGCCTGGTTCCGGTGGTAGAACGCATGGCGGGCAGCAATCTTCAACGCGTAGTGGTTGCGGAGCTTCTCTTGAATCGTGTCCCATGGTGTTGCCTGGACTGCTTCAGGCGCAACCAATGCTCGGGCCATCTCAAACACCTCAGGCCCACAGAGGCTGAGGAATAGGCCCCGCTTACGCTCCTTTGCTACTTCTGTCAGCTCGTTGGCTTGGAGGTAGCAGTCGAACCGAGCGAGGTAGGAGTCCCATGATTGAGAGGTTGGCGCAAACAGTGGTAGAGGCACAAGTGAAGCCATGATTCCGATGCCAGCGTGGAGGGCGATGGATGGAACACTGTGCTCTAGCCAGAACAGTCAGCTCTGAATTGGTTCTGTTCAGTGATTTCACTCAGTGATTCAGCTCAGTGATTCAGCTCAGTTCAGAGGGTGGCTGCATCTGGCTGTGCTCTGATGTCCATCGATCGATCCCACCTTCGTCGCCAGTGTTATATTGTGGGTTAACATATCAGACGACACAGCGATTCTTCCAAAGCAGCTCTTTATTTGTAAGCTGGAACAGAACTGAACTGAAGGCCTCAGTCAGCCTGCTTATATAGAGCTCCAGAACAACGTAACTGTAGCAACTTTCTAAAACTATCCAATCACTGAACGTCACTTTCGATCCTTCATTTGCATACAAACTATCCAATCACTGAACATCACTTTTGATCCTTCATTTGCATAACTATCTACAGTATCCCCCTGCTGGCCCAGGGTGAGAACTTCAGTACATAACAAGAGGTTTGGTCTTTAGAGCTAGGGTGGGTTTTTCAGGCCAACTCTTTGCTTTTACAGACGCAGGTTGCACCTGATAGGAGTCAGGAACCACAAAAGCAGCAGTCCTGGACAGCTTGGACAGGCAGCTGCATGTTTTGGGGAACTTCTGAGGATCAGCTTGGGGTAGCACCACATGCGATGCCAGGGGCCCACTTTCCCTTGGGGATGATCTGTTGTGGGGCGGAGAGGGGGGTGTTGGCTGCAGGCAGAGCCGGAGCAAAGCATGGGTGGAGTCTGTAATAATGCATGTCCTCGGCTGCACCCCATCTATTTGATTTTGCACTGAAAGCACACTATTTCTTAAATCTTGCTTCTTAGATTGAAAGCAGAACCAGACTTCGTCTTGAATGCAGACTTGAAATGGGAATTTGAATTCAGATTCAGTCTGCCTTCCATCTTGTTATAGATAATTTGATTTCTTTGTATGTTTTTATGGGGAACAGGGAAAAGGTTATAAACATTGATGGGATTCTAACAGGGACTTCTTCACGGTTCAGAAGTTACCTGTGTGGAGCTAATCTCTGAGCACAGGTGTGATATGCAGACAAGGCCTCAGTCCCCCCAGCAATCGTGCTGCAGCATTCTGTACTAACTTCCAAGGGAAGTCCCACATATGCAAATAATATAGTAGTTCTGCTGTCACCACATTTCTTACTCTGAAGAATAGTCGCTAATAGACTAGATCTGTTTACAGTCTGCTTATATTTCCATCTGAAAATCAGCTCAAACCATAAGCAGCATTTGAGAGAAAAGGCTTTGCTTTTGGCATCCAATTTTGGTTTTCAAACATTTGTATACTAATAATACATCAGTTATTCCACTGAACTAATTATAATTTTTCATCTTTGCATGATGACTTTGTGCTGACTAAATTGTTTTCAGTCATTTTTAGGCTGGGCACATCACACTACAGAAAAGGGATTGAACTACATAAACACATTTCAGCAATATAATGCAAAACTTTCTAAAAACAATTCTAAAACCCTTCATTTTGAGTGGTCAGGCCAGTCCTAGAGTCCCTGTGAATGACAACAAGCAAATATAAAACTCATAAAATTGCATTGTAAGGGGGAATAGTAACATTCCAGATTACAAAATGAGTTTTCTGCGATCAGAATGTGAGGTATTCCAGGCATGCTCTTCCCCTTGCTCTGTATCTGGAATGGGAGGGTGTAGTCAAGGGTGATAAGTGATCTATTTTTCTTTCATCCCTTCAGATCTGCAAGAGCAAAGCTCAAGAATCTCAACAGTATTACCACAGCCTGGCCATCCGCCAGAGCTTGGCCATCCACTTCAACATCCAGCAGGACTGTGGCCATTTCCTAGCTGATGTGCCTGTTCGCCTGCTTCCATGGGAAGATCTCCATTCACCAGAAGAGGATGAGGAAGAGCAGGAGGATGACAAGCAGAAGAACACCGTGGACGTTTCACAGAAAGACAGCTCAAATCTGCCAGGAGCCACAAGCAAGCAGCGCAGCAGAGTTGTAGTCATCACTCGAGAAGTTCCCTACCTAACCGTGGCAGATTTTGTGCTGGAGTCCTCAGACTGCCATGCCAGCAGCCCAGACTTGTATGAAAGGCAGGTATGCCTCCTCCTCTTACAGTTGTGTTCTGGTCTAGAACACCTGAAACCGTATCACATCACTCATTGTGATCTGCGTTTGGAGAACCTTTTGCTGGTGGACTATAGGGCAGGGGGAAGCCTTCTGAACAATGAGAGTGTGGAGCCCTCTCCCAGTGCTGCTTGCCCTGCCAGGCTTATAGTAAGCAATTTCTCTCAAGCAAAACAAAAGAGCCATCTGGTGGACCCTGAAGTCCTAAGAGACCAGTCCCGCCTTGCCCCAGAGATCATCACAGCAACACAGTATAAGAAATGTGATGAGTTCCAAACCGGCATCCTCATCTATGAAATGTTACACCTGCGCAATCCCTTTGATGAAAATCCAGAGCTGAAGGAAAAAGAGTATACTTGCGCGGACCTGCCCAGTATCCCTTGTCGTTCCCTTTATTCCCTGGGGCTTCAGCAGCTTGCTAACTGCCTGCTAAACCCTAATCCATCGGAGAGAATCCTTATATCTGAGGCCAAGGGAGTCCTTCAGTGTTTGCTGTGGGGGCCCCGGGATGATTTGTTTCAGACTCTCAATGCCTCTTCCAGACCAGCACAAAGAGATACTGTGCTCCAAAACTGGCTGGACATCAAACGGACGCTGATGATGATCAAGTTTGCTGAGAAGTCTTTGGACAGGGAATGCAAAGTCAGCCTCGAAGACTGGCTTTGTTGCCAGTATCTGGCTTTTGCCACTACAGACTCCCTCAGCCGCATAGTGAAAATCATGCAGCAACATTAGTTTGTAGCCGCTGCTTTCACTTGGATGCACCACAATCCTCTCTTCATCCCCAGCCTCATCTATGTGTGCAAGTTTTAAAATTATAACCTAGAACTCCAGGTCACCAATAGTGAGCAAACTGATCTTGCCAGGAAGCTCTGTTTCCTGTCGTAGGTGCCAGGGAGAGGTCTGAAGCCTAGTTTAGCTGGTGGTTTGTTTGGACAAGGAGGTGTGTAAATTTATTAAGGAAACCACTATTTATTACATTGCTGTTTGGAGGTGTAAGAGTGTGGAGTGAGTGCTGCAAATGGCAGCATCCAGGAATAACTGCAAACAGAATTGAGTCAGCTGTGAATGAGCCACCAGAATGCACACCACTCTTCACAAAGACATGGCCTCTGCTCCATGCCTTTGTCATTCTGGCCCCATCTCAGGGGTGACTTGGCCATATCAGTCATACTTCCTGCAGGTGCAGTCTTTTATTTGATTGTTCCTTCCCCATGAGACAACCCTGGACCACAACAGGCGGCCACTGAGTGACTTACAGTCAGCTGCAGACTGAACAAGTTTCCTTGTTTCTTTTATTCTTGCTGGGGTCAAAGGACACATTACATGGAAAGCCCCAATATTTGTGGTGTGTTTTTAAAAAATAAAAACACAACCTAGTGATTTTGAGTGGAAGTGAGGCAGGAAAGATGGGCTCATCCCTTCTCCTTACAGGTCATTTTTCCATTCAGATTTCTTGCCTGCACTGCTTCCCCTCACCCCACAGAGTTCCAGGTGCAAGTTTACCCTTCTTGTGTGTTGCTTTCTCATGCCTTTGTCTTCTTAACCCTGAATTCTGATGTATCAATCTAGAATATTTCCAATAGCAGCAGCAGATGTGTTTTTCTCTTTTTGCCAGCACATTTGACACAGTAGTTCTGCTAGAGATCATTGATGGTCTGTTAATTATAATGTTAACAGAGCAATGCCAAGAGCAAAGGGACGGTTTGAAGCAAATAGGAGCAGCTATTCCCCTTCTGCTATCTGGCTGGTGTTTTACCCCAAAACCAAGGGTAAAAATGTCTTCTTTGCAAAGCAACAAGGAAGCAGGGTATTAAAGTTGCTCAGAGCTCATCTTTATGTAACAAATAAGCTATGTAAATAGAGATGAGTTTTCTACAGGTGTGGTGCTCTTGGGGGCAAAAGATGTTGTGCAGCTATCACAAAACAGTTACGTTTAGCAGTTTTAGTTTATGTAGAATCTGGCTATCCAATTGCTGTCAGTATCTAGTTTTTGGACATTTTAGCTGTTTAAGCATCATTGGCTCAGAGGGAATTGCTGCCTACTAAGTCCAGTGGCCTGTAGAAATGTTTGCGCTCCTTCCCTGACACACTGGCCTTTTCCTGTGGATCCATTACAGTACAGTCCTGCTGCGCCTGATCTCTCTGCTCAGTATTGGTTGGACTTGTTTGAGTAGCTCTGACCTGATGGAACTGCAGCCCAGTATTTAATTCCCACAGTTGGGGGTGGTTTTTGAAATGTGGACAGCTCTTGTGTTGAGCCCATGCTGCTGCTGCTGCTGCTGCTCCTCCTCCTCCTCCTATGGATATATGTGCAATTTTTTGATGTATTATATGAGAAAGCTGTGTTAGTGTTTACGTTGCTTAACAGACTTAACCATATGTTAGATCTGCCCCCTTTCCTTTTCATGGCACATAGATGCACAAACATATGTGTCATCTTTCTCCAGATTGATGTTTCCTTTCTTTATTGTTAAACTGTGACTAACCTGTTTACTTCAGCCTTAGAGACAAATAGCCACTTTGAACAGTTCTTGCATGTTTGGACCAGAAACTGAAAAGCAGACCTGCAGAAATTATGTCAGCAAAGTCAGCTCTGTGGTCTTGGAGCAGGGTGTGGATTTCTCACTGATGCCAACCCTGTAGTTCATGAAAATCTGACCCCAGCATAAAATATGTGGTGGCCTCTTTAAATGCTTTGAATCTTCTTGCTTCAGTACTTATTGATTATCAGAAAAAGACCAGACAAAGCTAAGAAGTGTGTGAATGTGTCCTGTATTGCTTTAAAATAAAAGTGCAAAATTTGTAGGCAGGCAGCTGTCCTGGCACACAAAAGGCCCCTCCAGACTGGGTGGTGTGAGGGGAATGGCGAGTGTATTCTGCAGCATGTCACTGACACAATAATAGTGCATTAGTGGTAGAATTATTCTGCACTGTCCACACCTCATTCCACTTTAATGGCTGTTCTGCAATGATTCCCTGTTATTGCATGATTGCCACCTGGAAGGGCACTCTTGTACTATAGCACAACAAAAGCCAGACAAAAAATAAACATGAACATCCATGGTGTAAAAGGTTACAGGATTTCAGCAAGAGGTTGCAGGCTATGCACTGATTGGAAATGGAGCAGTGCTGACCACAAGATGTTTGCAAACAGTATTGAAAGTGGGGTTTTGCATAACCACCACAATTTCATCATGAGCACAGATCGTGGAGGCACAGTCAAAAGGACACCTGGAAGGCCAAAGAGCCAAATGTAATGTAATGCAGCCCAGAATGTAAGAGGTGATTTTGCTCCATGAAGCCCCCTGAATGGGGCATTTGGTACAGACTTCTGGCCAGATTCTTTGGAGAGTCTTGCACAAATATCCCATGCAGCCCTATATCACACAGGTAATTGTGTGATTGCTTGACACAATGCTTGCCTGTATGAGTCCACGTTGCTCACAGCTATGCACTGGAAAGGTAGAGAACACCTCCTTCCCAAGTTTTATATATGCTTCTAGCTGATATCTGTGTGCACATAAGTTCTCACTTAACCAGCATGCTCATCCTAGTGGAACATGGACTACTGACCATTGCAGCAGGGCACATTCCTTTAGACCACTGCTCTACTTTTGTGCAGAGAGATATGTGCTTTGTGTCAGTTTCATGTGGATGTGCAGAGTAGACTATTGAATGTTACATGACCTTGTGTGTTTTATGCAGCAGATCCCAAAATTTTGTATCTTGTCTTTTGGTAGCTTTGTGATTTCATTTTGCATTTTGATAGCAGATTTCAGCCAGTATTAGCATTGTGTACTCTAAGTGAGCATGGGGTATACACTCACTGCCGTCTCCTTATTTTGTAGCACTGAGTAAATTTGGTAATGAAGGATGGTAATAGGAATTCTGTGTAAGAGAGGGTGCATGAGGGGGAGAGAGGTACAACCAGGCAAGCATTTCCATTCTTGGTAGTGCCTGGAGCTACCTTTGCAAGCATCCTATCGAAGTCTCATTGATTTGTTGAGGGTTTGCCATTTAAGAGTTGGGCCCAAACCAAGCAGATTTCAAACCAAGACACTAGAACAAAATATTGTTACAGCACAGCATTTAAACAAAAGCCCTTGTTGCCCTCACAATTTGCTTCTGCAAGCATCAAGAATGAAAGCTTAAATACACAGGCACATATTTGTAGGGTTTGCATTTTAGAGCCTTTTGAGTTGAGCTCACCACAATTCATAGGATTGTGATTCTCAAAATAGCCATATTGACCATAAATGTATATATTTACTTATTGTAAATATATATACATTCAGAAAGCTGACACTCAGGCTTATTTTAGCACAATAAACCTAACCACAAAAAAGTTCTGGGAAATTAATTGTGGGTTAAAAGAATTTGAATGCCAAGTTTCCTGCTTGGCAGGGGGTTGGACTCGATGGCCATTGTGGTCTATTCCAACTCTATGATTCTATGAATGTGTACTTCTCAGAGCTTTTGGTGTCATTAATCTGTTCTGGGATGGCAACCTGAGTCATTGATTAATTACACTAACAACAGTGCCTTGTCACAAAATTAAAGCTAACAGGGAGAGAATTTTGCAGTGGGAATCGCCCACTGCTACCTACTAGCTTAAAAAAACAATATTGCCGTTATTTTGAAGGGGGTGGAGTCTAAGAAAGCTTAGTTGGCAATTCAACCAGAAGGGAACTCTATCTGGTGGCTTGGATTCAGACTCGTTTGATACTATTGAAAAACCAAACTAAAAGTCAAACATATTATTCAAATCTGCAACTTGTATAGGGTATTTAAAAAAGAACCTTTTGAAATAGCTGCTTAGACAATGTAGAATTGGAAAACCTGTTGCTCTGACAATCTTTTTCAGACTCCAGCAACAAAATTGTACACATAAACCACCTGCAACTCTTGTTACAAAATCTAATATTAGTTAGTAATATCAAGGAAGACTATACCCAATCTGTCCATTAGTGTGGAACTCGGAGCACATGGAAAACGAGAAAGGGGAAAGTGGCAGACTTCTTACAGGACCATCCTGCATGTTGAATTTGGCTAGAAAAGAAACAGAAATGTTGCTAAGGGAACTGGTATAACAGGAGCTAAATGGGACAATACCTAAGTTTACAACTTACTCCCTCTCTCCTTTCTGCAAATTCAAGCCAGGAAGCACCGTGATAACATTGTTCCCTTTTGAACTCTCTTTTACAACTATTCGAATAGGATCTGGTCAACTATCCAATAAAGTTAAGAGGAATTCTGCCTTTGGGACAGGTTTTTATTAGGGAACATCTAGAACCCATCAAAGCATCCTCAAACTTTTCACTTGTTGTTACCATTTTATGTTCTTGTATTTTATACTACCCTTCAACCAAAATTTTCAGTAAATTAAACATAAACCCAACAATAAAATTATTAATTATTATTTAATTAAACTGGAGCTGGTATTGTTTTGTTTCTTACCTGTAATCCTTGGGTTGAAGGGCAGTATAGAAATTTAGTTAATAATTGAATTACAAAGTCTATTCAATGCAGAAGTGAAGTGAACAGGAACTGACTAACCACCTATTTGGTCCTCAAAAGCCAGACAAAACAGGTGTCTTTAGCAGGTGTCAGAAAGCCATCAGAGAGGGAGATCAATGTACCTCCAATGGGAGGTACCCACATTCCACTGATAAGGGCTCAATGTTCCTGTTTCGTGAATATGTATTCTCCTGTTTTGTACATTAATTGAATCCCAAACCACCAAAGTAGGAATCGGAAGTACCCCATAAATGAAATTCTTCATGGAGAGAGAACTGAGGTAACATATAAGTTGGATTAAGGAACACCAGGCAGCCTTCTGATGTAGCTTTGATCCAGTCTGGCCCCTCTTACATTACCAACTAGGTTTGGTTTAGTATGCTGTCCAAGCCCAGGATTATGGTTAAGGTCTCGCCTTAAAACTACACTCTGTAGCCAAGGTTTGCCCTGTGGTGACAGTTTGTGGCGAAGGATGATAACACATGATTCCAAGTTTGGAAAATGCACTAAGCCAAACTTTCATTGAACTCAAGACCCCAGGGGGGAAACAAGTGGGTGCAAGCGTCACTCTAGGAGCCACATGTTTGCAAGTCATTCTCTGGCTTACAGTGAGGTGTGACCCAGGCCACAGTCCCCAAGTACGCCTTTCGCCTTCTTCCATATAAATGAATGGTTGTCATTTAATCGGGGCAGGAAGGAAAGAGTTGCACTTGTGTGTGACCTCCATGCTTGGTTTGTAACAGAAACCCCTCCCTGCGCTGGTTGGGTGTGGGATCCCTCCATAGCTTGGAAGTACTTGGAACCTTAGTCCTACCTGTGTGGCAAGTCTTTGGTGCTGCACTGAACTGCTCATCTTTTGTTCACAAATAAATACAGCTCCTGAAGTTTTACTGACTCTTGCTGCTTCATAGTATTAGGACTTAAACAGGGAGCACCCTTCACAAACCGCAGGGAATACTCAGGTAGTTGGTGACAATACTGTAGTGGAGGCAAAGTCTCCCTGGCTCTCTCTAGGAAGGACCCTGCAGAATTGCCCTGTGGGGTTTTGTTGCCATTTACAAGCTCAGACATGCAGCCCTGGGTCCATCATCATGACAAGCATTTTGAAAGCTATTCATCCAATCCAAATCAATTTTACAAAGGGCATATTGAAGAATATTCACTCTGTAAAATTGCTGCAACTGCTAAAGTAGCCCTTTCCAGCTGTTTTTGGAATTCTGATGAGAGGAATGCATAATTTGAAAATGACAGCCAACAACATAGAAAGGGCCTAGATGCACAGTGCCAGCCCTGCACTGAGTTAACGGCACCAAACTATTGGTTTCAGTGGGTCTGGCTCCCCTTAACTGCAGCCTTTATACTTGGGAGATCAATTGAAAGCACTCAACTCCCGAGAAAACCTCTACAGAAGTTGCTACACCTTCCTATTTCTTGTGGGAAAGCTCTTGGCTGCAAAGCAGACAATTGAGCCTAGAAGGGAGGGGGAAACAGATGGTAGTTCACAAAATTGCCCGCTCACTTGTATGGAAGGGCTTCCCTTTACTCCCACCAATACCTTGCTTCCAACTCCTTGATTATCCCTTTAATTCAGAAAAGATTGAAATATTTTTTAACAAGGAAGAAATGCATCTATCCATATTTTTATAAATGAATTTTGCTAACTACAAGAACAACCCACTTTGCCCTTATGTTTTTCTCTGCCCTGTCTATATATTATATACATAGCTTATATGCACACAATGTGCTTGAATTTTAAAAATTCTTTTTCCCCCCCTTCAAAATACCATTTTCAGGATACAAGTAGTTAACCTGAACTTGCTCAGGCTTAGAAAGTTTTATAGCTTTTGCCCTGAGGGATATTTTCTTTTAAATTGAATTATGCAGAGCATGTAAAATATTAAAGAACAATCCCTATGTTTTTATTAAAAAGCTAATTTTAAAAAAATAAAAAGTTCTACACAAAGGCAGTGGTATTTCTTTGCAAATGCCTCCAGGTGGGAAATAATCTTCTCTGTTGAAAGTCTCCATTCTCCTGGGTAATCTGTGTTTGGAGTTCACAGAATCGCTGTATCCGTTGTTTCATATCTATATTTACACATTTTTATAGATATAACTCCTAGGCTACCTTTGTGATCAGAGGGCAATAACACTCTGGTTTGCTGTGGTACTTTGCTGTATACTCTGTGGCATACATGTTACTGTGTAAATAAACTAGTTTTATTACACTGAGAATCCAGGTGTGCCCTTGCCTTCACTTCTTCCCCTACTGGGAGTGTTGCTGACAATAAAGCGGCCTGAGTGTGGCTCTTTTGTGACAGATGCAAACAGGTGCAGCTTAGGGGAAGGAAGGTGGGAAGGAAGGAAGGATCTTTCTTGAGGATACCTGGCAGAAACGGATAGCAGCTTTTAAGGCCAATGTCCCGACTGCATTCCGGATGCCAACATCTGGAACTGACCTGTAGAAAGGACTCCATGAATGGAAAGCAGAGATGTTTAATGCACCCTTGTTAACTATGAAAACACTTTAAGTGATAGCATGCAGTCTGAAAGACACAAAACAAGGGGGAAGTAATGGGCAGAAGGGAGAAATTCTTGTGCAACACTTCACAGACTTTCATTGACACTGTGGGAGGAGAGGAGCCAACTTGTCCTTGGTCCCAGGAGAGCGTGGGGGGGGGTGAAGAGGCAGCCTCCCCTTTCCCCTTCTGCAGCCAAGAGAAATACTTGCTAGTGGAGGCACTTTGGGTAGGGAAGGAGTCCAGCATTCCTTGGTTGCTGTCCAGGGGGATAGTGTGAGTCTCACTTCATGACTTCTACCATACAAAAGCATTATTATTATTATTATTATTATTATTATTATTATTATTATTTATAAATTTATTAATATCCCACCATTTTCCCATTCTAGGACTCAAGGCAGTTAACATAGATAAAATAGGAAATGAGGTAACTTGATAAAATTGGGGTTGAACAAGGTAGCTGTTAAGCGGCTTTGTAGCTGGTTGACTGATCGAAGAGTACTCATTAATGGTTCCTTGTCGTCCTGGGGGAAATGAATGTTTTAGTTGAGGTTCCTGCATTGCGGGGATGGACTAGAAATATCAGTGTTTCCCAACCTTGTGCCTCCAGATGTTTTTGGCCTACAACTCCCATCATCCCTGACTAGCAAGACCAGTGGCAAGGGATGATGGGAATTGTAGGCCAAAAACAGCTGGAGGCACAAGGTTGGGAAACACTGGACTAGATGACCCTTGGAGTCCCTTTCAAATCTACAATTATATCATTCTATGACGCTAAGAAGATAAACTATCAGGCACCATGCAGGGGGCTGCTGCGCGGGGTCATGCAGCCTGGCAGTGATGCTCAGAGCATTCCATGCCGGAGAAATAACAGGCAAACTCTCGAGCTCTGTGACTCACAGGAGAGGCACCAGTTTCATAGAGGGAGAAACCAGTTTAGCTCTCTTCAGGTATTTTCTGCTCCTGTATTGAAAAAGGGCACACACCCCTCCCAACATTAGACATGCCTTCCCTGGAGCCTGCACATACATCACAAACACAATTGGGAAACCTGTAAGCAGGGTTTGAGCTCAAGAGCACGCTCCTCCTCCTGTGGTTTCCAGCAACTGGTACTCTGGGCACAGGTGTTCTACGCAAGTGTGCTACAGCATTCTGTACTCACTGCAGCTTTTGGATCAAGTGCAAGCGCGCCCCGCCCCCCTTCTTATGAGAATGTTTTTTGTCAGTTGCTCTGAGAGTCTCCCAGGGTTACGGAGCACGCATTCTACATGCACACATGCATGTGGAACTCAGTACCACAAGGTGTTGCAATAGCCACCTGATAGCGTAGCTGGCAGAAGCCCAAATGCTATTTTGCTTTAGAACACGAGTTGTGGAAGATGCATGTCCTCATCCAAATTCTAACGCACCAAATTTGAGTCCTTTGCTTCCAGATGATGTCGCTGGCTCCTCTAAACTATAAAACAGCACTGAAAAGTGATGAGAGGGGCTGAATGAGAAACTAGCCAAGCAGATCAAAAGAAAGGGTGCAGGATCTCCTGTTCCCAAGACAGAACAACATCTCTTTTCCTCCTGACATAAATAGGTTGTGCCCACTTTTGATCCACGGTGGCCTGGTTCTTTAGAAGTGATGCTTACTCAATTACACACACAAGGGGAGGAAAACCCCACTCATGGAGCAAGAGGCGTGTCAGTTCTCAATGAAGGCAACATATGTTTTTTGACTAATGACAGGACCAAAAATGGACGACCAACACTTATTTGATCTGTGACGTGGTCTGGTGTGCTATTTCTCTAGGAACTGACAGCGTTCCATGCATCTGTGTGCATCTGGCCCGAAGAGCAGCCTTGCTGGATGAGACCAAAGGTCCATGTAGTCCAGCAGCCTCTTTCTGGTAGGGAGACAAGAAGACAGCCCCCCTTCCATGCTGCTGGCCTCATAAACCAGCTTGGAGTGGTATACTGCCACCACACAGAGAGGCTTTGTTTAGGAAATGTGGTCCACAGCAATTGAGATATACATTTCCCGCTTAGGTTATGACAGTTCTATCCTGCCTTTCTGGAAAGGAGCTCAAGAAGAGCCCAGCTTGATCAGGCAAGTGGCCCATTGAGTCCAGCATCCTCTCTTGCAGCTGACCAGATACTTGAATGTGTGGCCCCAAATTCTAGCATTAAGAGAGAGGGGGAGAGAACATGTTATCCATTTTCTCCACATCATAGAGGATGAAGGTCCTCGTGGCCACAATCCAACACAAACATAGACAGGCTTAAGCTGATTGCATGCTCCAACTGTTTTGCATTGTACCCATTGTGGGTATTTTCCCCCCAAAAATAAATACATCATCACCTTCCATTCCAACTGCATCATTAGCTTGCCATCTAGAGGACACTTTAAGAAAAGACAGGATCTTTGCATGAGGATAAATAACAGTGGAAGGAGGGAGCCTGACCTTATTAGTTCTAACAAAATGAATGCACTGCTTCATGGTAAGAGAATCTCTAAGCACCAAGGCTTTCGGCTTGTTCTTTTCCTCAAGCAGTAGAGGGATTTTGTCTGCTATTTTTTTCTTCCACCATTCATAGAATCAGAGAATTGTAGAGTTGGAATCATCTCAGACTTGAAGTCGTCCTGGGGGGGGGGGGCAGACCAGCAACACGGCAGGTTTCAGTGCTGGTCATCATTTGGATGGATCAGAGGCATAGGCGCCGACTCCATGGGGCCTGAGGGGGCCCGAGCCCCCTCAAAAATTCGATTGGGGGGGCGGAGCCCCCCCAATAATTTGAGAAAATTATTAGTGCGCGAACCTTCGTGTAAAGTCTGGCGGGCCAGCGCTGCGGCCGCGGCGACATCAAAAGGACTGGAGAGTCCCGAGGAGATTGCACGGCGGGGGAGAGAGGGAGGGAGAGAGAGGCAGGAGGTGCACTCGCTCGCCGCGCGCACGCACACGCAAATACAAACACACCGAGGGAGAGGGAAAAGTGTTTTGCAGGAGGAGCTGCTGCCGCCGCTGCTGCCAGGACGCGCCAGAGGAGCCGCCGGCGGGTGGGAGGGGGAATCCGAACGGAACAACAACAAGATAGAGAGAGAGAAGCAGCAGCAGCAGCGTCTCTGAATGGGCTGGATATTCCTCCTCAGGCGGCGCTGGCTCTGTGGCTCCCGGGGCCTGGGCGGCAGCAAGCAAAGCAAAGGAGCCGCCGACCGAACAGCAGCAGCAGCCGCCTGCCTGCCTGCAAGCCTGCCTTCTATACCAAGGTCCAGGTTCTTACCCGGTCTACCTGGAAGAAGGCAGGCAGGCAGGCAGGCATGGGACATCCACGCACCCTGGCCTGCTGCCTTCCTGCCTGCCTGCGGCCGCCTGGCGCTTCTATACGAAGGTACAGGTTCCTACCCGGTCTACCTGGAGGGAGGCGGGCAGGCACGGGGGTCCTGCTCAAGCAAGGAACCGACGCCTACCCGGCCAACCCGCTGCCTTGAGGCAGGAGCAGCAGCTGCGCGGGGTCTCGCGTTCTCTCAGAGGCTCGCGCTGCTTCTCGCGTTCTCCCTCCCCCAGGACCCCGGTATGGGCCCCCCCAATATTTTTTATAAGTCGGCGCCCCTGATCAGAGGCAGGATATTACGGAGTCCAGGGTAGGTGCAGAGCCCTTTCCATTTTTTGTAATGGCAAAGTGTAGTTCCTCTGTTCTTCTCAGCTAGCATCCTTCAAGTCAGGCAGGAGGTCAGCAGAGCATCTGTGTCTCTTGCAGAAGTCCCAGGGTCCAGCTGCCAGCCCCTCCAGCAGACGAGTGAGGAGCCAATCCTGCTCCCTGCGGGGTTCTGTTTCACCAGCATGTCCCTGGCAGAGCCAGTGGGGTGTAGTGGTTAGAGTGTCAGACCAGGGTTCAAATCCCCACTCAGCCTTGAAGCTCTTTGGGTGAGCTTGGGCCAGCCACTGCCCCTCAGCCTCACCTACCTCACAGGGTTGTTGGGGTTAAATGAGGAGGGAGAGAACCATGGGTGCCACCTTGAGCTCTCTGGAGACAAAAGCGGGGGGTGAATGCAACTAAATAAATAAATAAGCCTGCCCCAACCATCAGCTGTCAATATTTCCATCTGGGGTTCCCAAGACAGTGTCTGTGGGCAGGGTGCCCTCAGACAGCACTTTTGGCACCAGCCAAGGCCTTCTGCCCCTCCCAGTTGATTTAACATAATAATAATTGAGGGGGTGCGGTGGGGGCATTGCCTGCTTTTTTGTATGAGGGAATAGCTGGTTTGCCTGTTGCTTTGGAGGGTGTGCATTTTCTTCTTTGAAATGCTTGTTTTGTAGTACCCACGGCAGTTTCTTAGATTCCCAAATCTGCCTCCAGGCCCCAGAGGGGATGAAGACCCCATCATTAGAAATTTTGAAATGTGACAAGCAGACCAGGTTGCACTGGAGACCCTTCAGGCTCCCTCTGCTGGGTGGGGCCCGGGGTCTCTGCCCCAAAGTCCTGTCCTGATGGCACCACAAGCCCCAGGGTCTTCCTGGGATGCTTTGCACCTTTGCTGAGCTCAGAGTGTTCCCCCTCCCCACATCCTTTGAATAAGGCTATGCCCCTTAATTAAATGTCAACTTCCTGTTGCCTGTAATCAGATTATCCAATAATACCTGCTCAAAGAAGTCAGAAAATTAAGTCTGGCCACCATATGATTCCTTTTCACTATGAATCATTTGATTCCTGAGGCTTGGATTGAAA